GTATAAGACTAAACAGATACCATTGAATCTAGAGAATTAAATCAGCTTCAACAGTAGGGTATGCTTGATTAAAGTACTATCATCAAGAAAATGGGCACTCAATACCTATAGGTATATTTTGTATAAATATAGCGTTTGTGAGTAATGCTCAAAAGGGGGTAAATCAATCAGAGAGTGAAACTATAAGTATATGATTGCATGTTAAGCCACCAAAACTGGACATTTCGCTAAATTATCGGCAAAGCCTGATTCCCCTCGTGTCCTTGCGTTTGAAAGCTGGACGTACACTCCTCTTATTCTTCTTCAACACTCTCTTTCCACCTCTTAAGTCTCATGCTTGTGATCTCCATTTACTCTAACTGAGGCCTGCGCTCTTTCTCCAGTAAAATCGAAAAGGTGGAGTTCGAGATTACCGAGGACAGTTAGAGTATCTATGGAAGTACCTCTAAGATCATAATCGCGGTCACACTACAACAGTAAGAGGGTAGTTTAATGTTCTGAGGCATTTAAAAAAGAAGAAAATATTGGGGTTACTTATACAGAATGTTATCGCCTTAGTAATCTAATAGCGTAAAATCATCAAACTAATTTTTCTAACTAAGAAAACATCAACATCCAATACCACACCAATCTTCAACACCATAAATCCCATAGATAAAACTCAATTTTTTTTTTATACAGCAAATACACGTAGGAAGTAGTTGATCAATTTACCAGCTATCATACTTTTTTTGATAAGGAGTTTATTAACTATCATACTTTTGTTACGATAAGGAGTTTATTAGCTATCATACTACAAACCAAAATTCTATTACTTTTAACCTCTTACCAGTCAGCCTTCTCAAGTTCCATACGAACTGCTCCGGCAAAGCCCTCAAGTGTTACCTCCTGCTCTGTTTCAACCAAGCATATGAATGACATAATAACGAATCATCCAAGATAAGTAGTTCAAGATGCATAAATAATGCACAAAGCAATCTCAACTTCATTACATGTGATATATCACGGTGTATTTTTATTTTTCGACCGAGGAGTAATTTTCAGGGACTCGGGAAGCCTCTATTTTTCGACCAAGGAGTAACTTGCGTAATAATGTGACAACAAATCTAACTTACCTGGAATTTACCAAGAGCAAATTCCAGAGAAGTAAAAACTTTCTGTCATAATATTTTGTTGCTAATTGATGTTGTTAAGTAGAACTACCATTACTTAACTATGTTGTTAGTTTCTTCAAACGTATAAAGTATTGCTTGGCTTTTTCTTCATCTTGCCTTCCTGTTGTACATATTATCATCACTTTTAGCAGTAGCTTCCAAAGTCATAACCACAACAAAGTATGTAATTACTCCAATACATAGCCAAAGCTGCAGCCAAAATACAACAATCACCTTTGAATTATTTCTTTTAGGAGTTCTTTCTCTTTTCCTTTGCATTTAAGAAAATGAACTTTGAAAGATACCTGTTTCTCTAACAGCTCCTTAAATTTTTCATCTCATTCACAAGAATCGGAGGAAAAAAAAGTTACACCGCCATTAACTATGGTTACATTCACAACAGATTAGAGGGCTTCTCATATATAAAGGAAATTATCATAAAGATTTTCTCAGATCAACACAAAATTTCAAACTTTAAAATTGAAATAAAAATGCATTCTAATTCTTTCTATCCCAAAACCTAAAAGAAACAGAAAAATAATTGCAGTAAATGCTAAATAGAGATTATGAAGCATTAATTTTTTTCTTTTTAAGTTTTAGATATTCTATAATCAACTCCAAACAACTCCTTGTCCAAGCTCCAGCCAAAATAAAAGCTGAAAATAATGGAGAGAATCCTAATACAAATGATACTTCAAATATATATATGAGAGTTGATAAATAATTTTCTGGCTTCCACACTTCCACTCAGTGAAGTGCAAACTGCAAATTAAGTGATATCAGTGTCTGCTGCTCTCGTTACTCCATGTGCTTTTTTAATGGCAGATATCATTAAGAATAAAATTCTGTGACTGACTACACTCGAAGTTCCTATAGCGAGAACAAGAATAAATCTAAATCCTTCAATTGGATGTAGCCGTTGTCAGTCCTAAAAAACTGAATATGTTTTTTTTTTTTTTAAATTATAATCAACAAACATGAAAAATAGCATAAAAAATTTAAGAAAAGAAATTAATATGCAGCCTAAAAAAGTTTTTAATTTTAATTCCAAACCTAATAAGGAAGAGAGCATATCCAGGGAGGTAAGGGATACAAATTAGATTAATCAGACAGGGAAAGCTTCAGGTTGAAGAAGAGCGAAACGACGGAGAGCCTTCGTCGTCAATGTGGTGGGTCCCTTCTTTTTGCTGTTATTTATGCAAAAGTCGAAAAAGATTTTAAGTCATGAAACTATTAGAAGGGGCATAATAGACATTCGAAAATCATGATAGAAGGGTCACACGTGAAATTATCAAAGTACCCCTCCGAGGACGACGAAGAGCTGCTAAATTCCCGCTTCTAAATAAGTAGAATATAAATAATAGGAAGCTGATAAATCGGTGAGTTGATAGTGAGAGATACAAAGCTTTGGCTAACGTACACACAAGATAATGGAAATACACCACATGCCATTATCTTTCAAGTTGTCATACGACATACTTGTATCCTTTCAAGTTTTCACTCATAAATCTTTAATCGTATTTTTTATGACCAAATAGAACTTCAACTTTTAAATACTCTTTTTCAATTTAATTTATCTTTTGTACAAATATTTAACACTACATGTCCAAACGCCAGGGGCGGATTTACATGGATCCAAGCGGTGTTACGGGATACTACTTTGTCGAATTTTTTAATAAGTAAAACAAAAATGCAAGATAAAATCATTCAAAGTGACACCACTTCAGGGGCGGCTGAAGGGCAAGGCTACTAAAGCCATTGCCTTAGGCCCCCCCAACTAAAGGGCCCCAAAAATATTACTAGGAGTTTACTGTATTATAATGCATAACATATACTCCATCCGTTTCAATTTAGATGAGGTAGTTTGATTCGGTACGGGATTTAAGAAAAAGAAGAAGACTTTTAAAACTTGCGCCTTAAAAGTTTAAGGGGTAAAAGCTTTGCGGGGCCATGTCATTTATGTGGTTATAAAAGCTTCTTATTAAGGGTAAAATGAGTAAAATGAAGAGTTTAAAGTTGAATTATTTCCAAATTTAATAATGTGTCATTTATTTTGGAACACACTAAAAAGGAAAGTACCTCATCTAATTTAAAACGGAGGGAGCACTTAATTTTATATAATAATTATTAATAAGAGATTTCAAGTTTTAACAACTTACTTATTTTGTTGTGGTTATAAAGATGAGTTAGAAAATAATAATAAATTTTTTCTTTTAGTAGTTAGGTATTTTGTCTTTCTCTATAGTTTTAATTTTTCCTCCTCTAAGTTTATTCATTTCTTTTCATGTTTTTGACTATTTTATTTTTGACTTTAACTCATGGTCTCTGACTTAGCTACTTTATTTAGTCATAGTTTGATGGATCAATAGATCAGAAAGCAAATTTTTTGTGTCTCATAATTATTATATGAATTTACGAAATAAATTTAAGAGGCCTCTTAATATAGCTTTGTTTTAGGCTACTAAATCCGTTGAGCCGCCTCTGCACCACTTGCATCAAAATAATTCAGTAGTCTAGTGGTTGACAACTTTAAGTTTGATGTGAGAGGTCATGGGTTTAAACTCCCTTGGCTTCACAAAATATTTTTTTACTATTAGGCTTATTGCTAGAAATAGTAACACCGATTATGACAAATCCTACAAACACCTACTAAAAAGTACGGTTAGAGGGGAGAAAAATAAAAAATAAATTAACAGCACAAGCCTAGGCTAGGCCGGTCAGAACGTCATCTGGGTTCGAATCCTACTGAGAGGTCCACTAGAGATCAGAAATTGTTGAAGAAACAACAAGATCTTTCGTTTGTCCCTTCCAGGCGATCGGAAAATAAAGAAATGGTTAATATATTCAAGATAATTACGTATTTACAAAATACCGTCTCAATTCATCCTATTTCATCAGATCCGGGATGTGATATGGTTCCGAAGGATGAACCGGAAATGGTCAGTTCCAATAAGATTTCATTCTTCAATAAAAATCCATTTTTTGATTTATTTCATCTATTCCATGACCGGAACAGGGGAGGATACACGTTACACTACGATTTTGAATCAGAAGAGAGATTTCAAGAAATGGCAGATCTATTCATTCTATAATAACCGAGCCGGATCTGGTATGACACCTCCATCCCTAGAGGAGTTGTATGATGCAGAAGCTCCACAAAAGATTTTGAAGCCGAGCCTTTCAAGCAATGGGGCCTAGGGACCAATACAATGATGGTTTTAGGTAGGGCGGCCGACCTACTACGGGCACCTATAAGGATAAGTGTGTAGGACCGCAATCCACAAATTGACACAACAGATATTAATTAAAAAAAAAAATGATGGTGCTCGTCTTTAACTTAAGACAAAATACATACACGGGCCGTTAAATTTTGCTCGTTTATTTCATTTAAACAACTTGAGAGACAAAGACAAAGCATTAACAAAGAGAAATTAAAATTTTTAGTGGGGTGAGAGAGTACTATGATTAGTTTTAAGTAGGACGACTGACCTACTACGAGCACTTGTAAGGATCTGTGTGTAAGACCGCAATCCACAAATTGATACAACATATATTAATTAACAAGGAAAAAAAGTTATAGTGCTCGTCTTCAACTTAAGGCCAAATACATACACCGCCCGTTAAACTTGCCAGTTTATTCATTTAGACTACTTGAAAAGACAAAGACAAGGTACAAAAAGAAAACAAAATATAACTTGTGGGGTGAGAGAGGCTCGAACTCTCGACCTCAGGATAACTCAGAAGCTATGAGACCTACGCGCTAGCCAACTGCGCCACCACCCCTGTTGTGTTTGAGCATCTTTTATTTGTTTTATATCTTGTGTTTTCTGGAGAAGTCAAAAAGACAGATTACTGTGCCCGAAAACGCCATTGTTCTAGCTCTTCTTACATACCACAGTCTAGTTAGGGTTTTCAGATCTTTCTCACTTTCATCACCAAAACCCAATTTCAGGTACATCTTTTTTACCCTTTTTTATACCATTTTTTTTACCTGTTTTTTTTTCAAAGTATTATCCTCTTGTTTACCTCAGTTTTATGCTCATTTTATTTGTTTTCCTTCCTTTAATTCAATCTGCCCCTTTTTCACCTCATAAAAGAAAAAGGAAAAAAAAAAGTTGAGAACAGAAGACAAAAAATGCAATCTTTTTCTCTCTTTTTTTTTGAACTGTAAAAAAATTGCAAACTTTCACTTACCCAAATAATGAACTGAGAGTTTCTTTAGTTATTTGGGTTTTATATGCTATGTATGTGAATATCAGTCTCCTTTTTTTCAGCTTATGTCCATCTTATTTTTGTTGCCTTTCTTTAATTTTAATTTGCATTCACCCTTTAAAAGCAAATAAGTGAGAAAAAAGATAAAAATGCAATCTTTTTTCTTTTTTCACTGTAAAGGTGCAGATTTTAATGAATACTGAGCTGAGTTTATTTAGTTATTTTGGGTTGTATATGCTATGCATGTGAAAAAAAAAAATTATACTTTTTTCACAAACCATGAAATTCAGAAGTATTGGATCTTGATTAAAAATGCTCTAGGATTCTAATCAAGGGTCTTAATTGAAATTTGAGGGGTAAAAAAGAAACAAGAAAACAATGGGATGTGGTTGTATGTTTAAGTAATTGTACTTTATGTTTAATAGCTTGTACCTTGTATTTCCCATTTTGTGTGATATAGTTTGCTCATTTAGGTTATTATTACATGCTTTTAGCACTCCTACAAATTTCATTATTTGCTCACCATTTTTTTTTTAATTTTATATTCACATACTTTATTTGCCAATCTGGCAGTTGACTTAACATTTTGTTTAAGTTGAACTTACTAGTCTTATTTATTGTGATTATAAACTGAACAATGACATGTGCATATAATGCTTCTGATATGGTAATCAGTATCAGCATGCGATATTTTATAAAATTAGTGGACTATATGAATAGCTGTTCTTTGAGCCGATGGTCTACTGGAAACAACTTTTCTACCTTCACAAGGTATGGGTAAGGTTTGCGCAGACGTTGCCCTCGCCAGACTCCACTTGTGAGATTACACTCGGTTTTTGTTGTTGTTGTTGTTGTTTGTGGACTACATGAATAGAGAATTTATAATTCTAAAAGTTGTCCTCTCCTTTCACTTTGTTGTCAACTGTCAAACTGGAACAAGTTATGCTAATTTATACTAGTATAAGCTAGTTACATTTACTTGATAACAAATTGTCGTAATTACTGAGATTAGGTTAAAGAATGAGTGACTAGTTTTGTGAGGAAAAATGCCATTTACAGCAAAGATATATAATTCCTTTCCAATCAACCCCAGCATTTACATAATCGGAGTGAGAAGCTTTGGAGAAGTTAGCATCAAGCTCTAATCGGAGCTCTGTGTTCTCATAATTTTTAAGTGTAAAAAATTTTATGTCCTTAATGTGCTGCACAAGCTTCTTCACTCTTCCAGTTTGTCTTGTAACAAGTTATTGTTTCTTTCAGTTTATAATCACAATAAATAAGACTCTTGTTAGGCAGTCCACTGCATGCTTTTCCTTCTTCAAAGATTTTGCTGTTTTGGTATCTCGGATGCTTTGTTGTGCTTTCAACTAGAATATTTTCTGCTTAAGATAAGTAGTTGAAGATAACGGAGTTCATTAGTGAGTAGCATGTTTGGTAATGAAGGAAGTTGTTAAAATAAGTTCTTTTTTTCAATTTCAATGCGAGTTGAACCATGCTTTTTTAGGAGCGTGCTGTTTATCCTAATATTACTGTGGGAAAGCGTTTAATTACGTTTTATGAGTAATATCATGGGAGTAAACTACAAGAATGTACAACTTGCGCAAGTCCTTATTAGCCTCAGAGATGAAGTGTTTTCCATCATCTATTATTTTATTAGGTCTTTCCTGAATATGAAGATTTAGAGAGATGCTTGTCAAATCATCTAGACAAATGCTTGAGCATCTTAAAAGAAACTGCAATCGATATAAAATTGGCAGTCAGGAAGCAGCAACTTTAGTGAAAATTGAAGCCTTTTTCTTAAAACTATGATAGGCAACTGTATCTTGTTTGGTGGTGAATTTGGATTTTTTAATCATTACATTTGGATGTTTTAATAATTGAGCTTCCGTGTCTAATTTAATGTGTCAACATTTAGTTATTATCAGTATCTGTGATGGTTGAATTTTTTTGTACAGGACGTATCTCATGTATATTGGTTCGCTGTAGATGCTGCTTAACTGTTGAATTGCACACTACGTTAACATTGGCGTCACTGCTGCATTACACAGGAGGTTATTATTTCGTAGTATTTTGCCAATTGGGTTCTTTAATGGGGACTAGTTCTCTTTAGCCGTCATTTAAGTATGTTGCAAGATGAATGGCTTAATCTATATGGATGTGTGCCTGGGGAATTGATAATTTTCATTTGATTATAAGCAAAGCATATTCTTTTGAGGGGATATATCCAGGTTTTCTGGTATCTGTCATTTTATGCTAATTATAAAAATTAAGGTGCGGTGGGAAACATTGGTGTGTGACTGAAGGTGCTTTTGTTCAGCTTCTTGGCGCTCCCGAGATTCAGCCATTCAGGGAATTTCTGATGAGGCTCTGTTTTCCCTCACATATTATATGACATTCTGATCTATGGTGTCACGTTTATGGCATTAAATTCTCAGAAATGATTGGCAAATACAGGTTTCTTGTGCAGACGCTGAACCCCTTAAGTCTTGTACTCTTCTCAGAGTAGATTTTCAGGGTTTCCGTCTTTCCTGAGTTAGATTAATGTCACCGTAAGCATTTGATGTTTGATTCACTTTCTGAGCTAATGGTTAAAACGTCATAATTTTGAACTGTTCTATGAGGTGGTTCCTTGGAATAAGCAACTATTTGGTAGTGTGGAAGTTACTGCAGATTTTGCTAGAAAGTCAAGAAGATTCTTGTTCTTGTCTCTTGTTAGTTTGAACCAATAATTGAACTTCAAGTATGGATGATCCCGTGAAGAAGCCTCAGGATAATGGGCAGAAAACCTCAATCAATGATGACGTTCTGGCTCGGAGGCTAAAAAACCGAGAGCGTCAACGCAGATATAGAGAAAGGAAACGTCTTAAAGTTGATGCAATGAAGGTGTTGGGCACAAACCAATTACCTTCAGTGCCAGTGGAGGTGCCTGTGATTGCTGCTCCTCAGTATAGTGTATTGCCGGTGGATGTTACTCCTCTCGATTCTTCAATGCCAGTGAATGTTGCTCCTCTCGATTCTTCAATGCCAGTGAATGTTGCTTCTCTGGACTCTTCAGTGCCAGTAAATGTCGCTCCTCGGGAATATGTAATGCCAGTGAATGTTGCTCCTCTGGACTCTTCAGTGCCAGTAAATGTCGCTCCCCGGGAATATGTAATGCCAGTGAATGTTGCTACTGGAAAATGTGTGATGCCGGTGAGCAGTGCTTCCCGGGAGTCTGTCACCCGTGTTTACTCTGGGCGGAAATGGAAATGTGATGCTCGAAAGGCTCATACGGTGAGGCAGAAAGAAGTTATTTCTAATGGTTCAGTTACACCAGATTTAGCATCAACTGGTGGAAGTCAAGTACCATCTTTACCCCATGTTGAACCGTCAAATGTGGCATTAAGTAATGTTATTTCTTCACCAGTGGCTGCACTGGAAAATAGTGGAACACCCAAATCTATTCCAAGTAGGAGACATTGGAAAGCGGAAGCTAGAAATAAGAAGAGCTGAAATTGTTGATGATAAGTTTGGTTAAGTATATCGCAGAATATTATCAATTGTTAACAGCCTTGTTGTAATCTCATCATGTACAACATTAGAAGGGCCGAGGAACTTCGGATAATATTGTGAGTGTTTCGCATTCTTTCTTTCCCCCTTGAAATTTTTTGGTAATCGTTTTAGAGAAAAGGGAAAAAAGTACTCCTATGATGGAGAAAATCTTAGTTTTACCCTCCTATATTTCTGGGTCATTCATACTCTTGCTAGCAAATCATCTCGTATTTGCCCTTGACCGTAATGGAACTCCAGCCTAAAGTATAACAGAGGATATTCTTAAGCCATATTCAAAACTATAGAAGGGTAAATCTGGACCTTTTTCCCGAAGTTCTTTTATACGTGGAATTCACTCAATCTACGCTGGAGCTCCGTTAATGTCAAGGACAAGTACGGAACGATTAGCTTACGATAAGGGTATGAATGGCCCCAAACTGTAACAAAGGGTAAATTTAAACTATTTTATATAGTATATGGGTAAATTTGGACCTTTTGTCATCCTTTTGTTTTTTTTTTTTTTTGTGTGTGTGGGGGGT